GAGATTCCCAGCCGACACCCAGCAATCGGCGAGGAACACTGACAGGGGAGAGGTCTCTATGTAAACAATACAGATCTCTCCCCTGTCAGCACCAGCACGCTGCTTTGTATTGCTCTACATAGCAGCGCAATACAAAGCAGTGTGCTCACACAGTAAAGCACACACAGACAAAATAGTAAAACAGCACACAGTTAACCCATTGATCGCCCCAGATGTAAACTCCTTCCTGCCCAGTGTCATTACTACAGTGCTTTTTATTAGCACTGATCACTGTATTAGTGTTAGTGGGGTTGTCAGTGGCAGTTAGTCCCCCCCCCCCCCCCCCACTGTCAAAATGCCCGTGGCAGTCCCGCTATAAGTTGCTGATTGCTGCTATTACTAGTATTAAAAAATAAATACCAGTATATATACCACCATTTGTAGACGCCATAACTTTCATGTAAACCAATTAATTTACAGGTACTGGGATTTTTGTTTTTAGCAAAGACATGTAGCAGAATACATTTTGGCCTAAATTAATGATGAAACTTGATTTTTAAAAATTTTTTTACTGGATATGTTTTATAGCAGAAAGTCAAAAATATCGTTTCTTTTTCAAAATTGTCTTTAATTTTTTTGCTCACAGCGCAACAAATAAAAAAACAACAATACAAAGGCAATCAAATACCACCGAAAGAAAGCTCCATTTGTGGGGAAAAAAAGGACATATTTTTTGGGGGTCTGAAGCTACTCTTTAAAGTGTGCACTTTGCTATTTATTGCCTTTCAGTACAAAAGGAGACTCCTACACAACACCTATATATCCCCACTTGTCCCATTGTCCTGTGGAATGAAGTGAGAGGTGTTGTATTAATCATTGTTTAGGATACAATCACAGCTATTTCCAAGAGCATTCTGTGGTTTCTGTGACGTTAATGAAAGTAAATAAATTATAATGGAAACCAAAGTGTACTATGTAGACCTGTTGAGTGATTAGCGATTTTGCTAGGTGGGAAAAAAAAAAAAAAAAAAAAAAAAAAGATTCCTCCATCCATGCAATATAGTGCAGATGGCCAAATCCCCCAGATGGGCCAGCAGCAGCTGTCAGAATAACTGATCAGTGATTCCATCTGAGTGGATGTATATTAGGCAGGATGGGAGCCAACAGGGCAACTCGCAAAGTGAATTTTGGACAGGTTCTTCAGGAACTAGACAAAAGTCACAAACTGTATGGCCAGCTTTAGGGTTAGCCTATGGCTTCAAGGGAATGTGCAGGTCACAGCATGTCAGCCTGTAGTCCAAATTGGGAGAAAGCAGTCTAGGGTGACAACACAGGTCCTACACAGATGTAGAATCTGAGGCTGTTGTCACCCTAGGTCAGTAAATGTCATAGCATGATCCGCTGTGACTACATTAGAAAACAAATTTAGTCACCACTGCTGCGGACAGGTGAGCTGTTATATATTTAAATTTTGTTCTTGGGTTTACACACACTTCAAAGCCCAACTCCTCATTGACATACATATGTAAAATAATAAATTATTTCATATACACAATTTTTTATATAGTTTTGAGTCTGCTTTCTTCTCTTCCTTCTCTGGTAGTATGCAGGTCTTGTAATTTGAAGAGGCTGGCATGACGCCATTCCCTGCAGCATTCTCAACTTTCATATGTGAACAGTGTGGCAAAGTGATGGGATCCAGAGATTTCTAGCAACTGTGGCTGGACAGAGAGGCACAGGATGTGAGTAGTTTCCAGAATATGTTTGGCCCCCATAATGTGGACTGGCGCTGGACTCAGAGAGAGTCTGCAGGAGACAGCACCTGAATAGAGATCATGGGTACTACAATGAAAGCTACCCTTTAGGGCTTGTCCACATGGGTGTGTGGGCAGTGAATGAAGGCAGTTGAGCTGCAATTTTATCGCATATATACTTTTTTATAAGCGAAATATTGGATTTATCTGTGTTTGTTTTAGGGTAAGGGGGTATAATAATTCTTGTGTGATCTGCATTTACTTGTGTATACGACATGAGAAGTGAAAAGAAGGGGTTAAAAAGCACCAGATTAGCCTGGGTTCACACCTGTGCGGTGCGGCATATCGCATATGATTCGCCCAGGAACCGCACCACATTCCTGTGCAAATCACATGCGAATTCTGTGCGCTGCGATTTGAGCCATACATTTTGTATGGCCCAAATCGCACCACATCATAGAGGTGCAGCACCCTTTTTTTTGGTCCGCACTAGAATCGGATCCCATGGGCATTCACACCTATGCAATTCGATTGTGCACATCGCACCATGTTTTGCGGACCGATTTTTGGGGTTGTTAACATACACACCCGCAGCGGTTCGCATGAACGGGGTGCGTTTGTGATGCAGTGCAGAATTCTCACAGAAACTGCTGCAAATTCCACACCGCATCAGTGTGAACCCAGGCTTAATCCCATAGTTTCTAACTGTGTTTATTATTGTTTATTTCTTTAGAAGCATATTTTCTTCTGTTTCTTTGTCCATATTTTGGATAGGTTTTATAACAGGTTTTCTGTGGGCTGTTTCTCTTCATTGGTAGTAAAGAATGAATGTCAGTTAGACCCTGTTCACACCTGAGCGTTTTGAGCTCAATGCTCAACAAGTAAAATCCCATTGTTTCCAATGGCTCCGGAGCCCCGGGATATCTGTGACACTAGTGTACATCGCTGGATTGAGAGGGGGCTTAGGTGAGTATTAGATGGGGCTGGGTGGGTGCTGTTCTCAGTTTTTTTTTTACCTTCATGCACAGAGTGCAAGAAGGTAAAAAAAAAACGTTGATCCTTAAAACCACTTTAAAGTGGAGCTCCCCACAAAAGGGTAAGTTCTGCTTTAAGGACTTGCCACCCCATTAAAGATTGGCACCTTTGGAGAGTGGAGGACGAGTACCCCCCCCCCAGCAGTCTTCTTGGACATGTGACAGGTTCCAGAAGACTACAGGACCATTCACAATGTGCAGCGCTGCTCACACATGCACAGTGGGCACCCAGCTGTGAAGCCACAAGCTGTCACAGCCGGGTGTTCACACTTAAAATGCTGGCGCCAGGGACAGAGAACAGCTGGTGAACCCGGCTGCAGCGAGCACACCGCTGGATCTAAGGGACAAGTGAGTATCAGTTCCTTTTTTTAAAAGTCAGCAGCTACAGTTTTGGAGCTGCTGACTTATTTTTTTTTTATCCCCAGACACTGGAGCTTCCTCTCTGAAATAATTGAAAAATGTCATACCATGTGTTCTTGAAGTAGAATAATTATCTAATTGTTTCCTGCTTGGTATGATCTATTTGTGATGTATATAAATACACTTTACAGATATTAATCACACAGGTTCTGAGGCCAATTTATTGCAGATAAGGCACTAAGTGAGTTTAATTAGCTCCTTAATCAGCCACAGAACCTGTGTCATTAATATGTGTTCCGGTTAAAGGGATGAGGTGGCAACCCTAATTGTGAATGTCATTTCAGCTATGTTCCAGCCTGAGGAAGGGTGTTAAAGCCTTTGCCAGAAACTGCTGCATTTTGGAACAAAATATGCAATTTTTGTAACTTTTGTAAATGTTTACTGACTTTCAATACATTTTAAGTGCAGCAATCCCTGATTGAATTTTTTTTTCTCTAGATCACTGGTGGGATGGTCTGATTGCTTTGCAGTCAATCTACACCTGTTGTGCTGCTCACCACACCTGTTTGGAGTGTGTATGTGTGTATATATATATATATATATATATATATATATATATATTTATTTATATTTGTATGTGTGTTTTTTATTTAAGTAAGGCCCTATTCACACACCAGATATATATATATATATATGGGGGTTTTTTTTTAGGTAAGGCCCCATTCACACACTATATATAGTTTTTATTTATGTAATGCCCCATTCACACCAGATATATATATATATATATATATGGTTTTTATTTAAGTAATGCACCATTCACACCAGATAGATATATATATATGGTTTTTATTTAAGTAATGCCCCATTCCCATTCTCACCAGATAGATATATATATATGGTTTTTTATTTAAGTAATGCCCCATTCCCATTCACACCAGATATATATATATATATGGTTTTTATTTAAGTAATGCCCCATTCACACCAGATATATATATATATGTGTGTGTGTGGTTTTTATTCAAGTAATGCCCCATTCACACCAGAACGCGGAGTGATAATCTTGTCTTCAATGCGTGTTTCCTGCACCACATTCAAAACGCACTGCAGCTGCAATCTGCAGTAGGTGTCAATGTTAACAACACCCCAAATGCAGGTCACAAATGAAGTGCGTTTGCATGCGTCAGATTGCATGGTAAAGAAATATCATGCGATCCGGTTGCAGTGTGTTTGCAAAAGTAGTGCATGTGCTATGTTTGGTGCGCTGCAGTGCGATTTGAGCCCAATCAAAGTGAATGGTCTCAAACTGCATTGCCTCTTCCTGGTGTGAAGCAGCCAGAAGTCTGTTGTGTACAGGTGGTACTTTGTGTTCTTGGTATGGTTTACCTTTTTTAACTTTATTGACATGTCACAAAATGACACTTCATTGGAGTCTATGCGCCGTAGAGTGTTTTCAGGTGCTGCGACATGCAGTTTGGCGAGTTGCGCTAGGTAAAAACATTTTTTTCCTGAGCGCATTAGACAGTTACTGTGTGCTGATCTATGGAGTTGAGTGTCAGCAGCAGACAGGTTGTTGATGCCATGCTCCCCCCCCATCACCCAGCTGTGTAGACAGGCACATGGAGCTCTCCAGCCTGGCAGGCCCCTGTACTGAGTGAAGGGCAGCAGACAGGCCCCGGGCCCGGCACACACTCACCCATGACTGACAATGAGCAGGTGACCCCTGTGCCGGGCTGAGCGGTGCCGGGACATGATACAGATGTTCCCTGTGACACCACAGGCTCCCAGTCACTGCAGCCGACACTATGTCTGCCTCCATCGGAGAACCGTCCCCCTCCCGGAGCCCTCTCCCCGCCCGGGCCGCACTCACCAGGTGTCCCCCCTCCGCAGCGGGGTCTTCAGCAGCCCTGACACTTCTGCTCTCTGAGTCTCCAGATCAACCACTCCGCCCTCCGCCATCTTCCTGCACTGACAGCTGCGCGCTGCATCCTGGGAGTGACGTCACTGCTGGGAAGTAACGGGACCCGAGCTGTGTGTGTGTGTGCCCGGGGAGCACCGGAGACCGGTGCCGGGGGAGGACTGCACCGGACAGGCAGCTGCATGTGAGGGATCAGGCTGGCTGTCGGCTGTCACTGTATTATCCTGCCTGGTAGTAGCAGAGGAGCTGTCCCTGCACACTCCAGGGCTGCCATCTAGAGCCCTCCTTCACTACTTAAAGGGGAGCTCCAGTCAAAACTACACAAAATACAAAAACTGTAGCTGCTGACTTTCAAAAAAACAGGCACTCACCTGTCGCACCATCCAGCAATGTGCTCACAGCAGCCAGGTTCTCCGGCTATCCTTGGTCCTCGGTGCCAGCATCTTAACCACTTCCCGACTGTGGTATAGCCAGAAGATGGCAATAGCACGATTGGCTAGTTCTGGCAAGGGCATCCATGGCAGAGGAGAGGCTGTAAACTGCATTTGTCAGGGGGACATCTACACTGATCATTAGTGCCCTGATGATCAGTGTAGTCCCATCAGTGTGGCCAGTAGTGCCCACCTGTGCTGGCCATCAGTACCACCTGTCAATGCCCATCAGTGCCATATATCAATGCAGCCTCATCAGTGCCTTCTCAGTGATACCTGTCAGTGCCGCCTATCAATGCCCATCAGTACCACATATCAGCCTCATCAGTGCCTCCTCTTCAGTGCAGCCTCATCAGCGCACATTGGTGAAGGAGAAAAATCACTTGTTTACAAAACTTTTTAACAGAAACTAATTAAAACTTTTTTTTTCAAAATGTTTGGTCTTTTTTTGTTTAGCAAAAAATAAAAACCCCAGTGGTACACAAATACCACCAAAAGAAAGCTCTATTTGTCAAAAAAATTGTAATAATGTAGTTTGGATACAGTGTTGCATGACCACATAATTGTCATTCAAAATGCAACAGCACTGAAAGCTGAAAATTGACCTGGGCAGGAAGAGGGAAAAAGTGCCCGGTAGGCGAGTGGTTAAGTGTGAGCACTCAGCTGTGCCAGCTTGCGGCTTCACAACCAGGTGCCCACCATGCATGCACAAGTCATGCTGCGCCTTGTGAATGGTCTCAAGACTACAGGGAGGGAGGACAACTTCCTCTTCCAATCACCTAGGCAATTTCAGCGAAAGTGGGAACAGGTACCTGACAAAATTGGTTACCCCCCTTACTCCCCAAAGGTACCAACTCCTCACAGGTAGCAGGGAACCAGTACTTGAAGCGGAACTTGCCCTTTTGGGTGGAGCTCCACTTTTTGAAATTTATTGCAAAAAAATACCATATATAACCCATTTTTTTTGCAAGATATAAAAGATGATGTTACACCAAGTAAATAGATACAAAACATGTCATGCATTACAATTACAGTTGCCCGTGCAAAGGCTACAACCATTTTAAAAGCCTTTACATGTATCCTCTTTAGATTTACAGAGGAGTTCTAGTGCTAGAATTACTGCCCATGATCTGACAATTGTGGCGATACCTCACATGTGTGGGACAATCGCTGTTTGCGTGCACACGAGACAGACGCGTGCACTCACTTTTGCTCATGAGCACGGGGGGCTCTTTAATTTTTTTGTTTTAATTATTCATTTTTTTTTATTTTTACACTTTCACTTTAAATTTTTTTGATCACTTTTATTGCTGTTACAGGTATTTTTATGGAGAGATCTGGGGTCTATGAGACCCCTAATCCTTCTTTTGCACTTGAAAGCATTCAAAACACCAATCTTGATGTTTTTGAATGCTTTCAGATTTTTAAAAATGGCACCAAAAGTTTCCAAGTGAATTTGAAGTGATGTCAGGTCATTGCTTCCGGTTTACAATAAAGGAGAGCCAGTCAAAGCTGATTCTGGCTTTGTTCGGCTGTCCGGCCAGCGGGTGGACTTGCACTCAGAACTCCCGGGTACCCTCCGGCTCCTTGTACAAGCAGTCGAGCAGCTAGTAGCTGCTCAGATTGCTTGTTCAAGACAACTGACTGCAAGCTCTAAAAAATGGTGCTGGGGTGATACCTGCAGTTGTACAGGTACGTCGCTGCACCGGAAGTGCCCAAATGGAAGAAAAATATATTTGAAAATATATTTTAAAAATATTCTTCCCAAATATATTGACATATATTTGAAATACTACAATTTTGGCCATATTCAATATATTTCAAAATAGATTTCAATATATATATATATATATATATATATCCATACACAGTTGTGTTCAAAATAATGGCAGTCAGACATCACTAACCTGATCAATCATTTTGTTTTTGGTAGAAATGATATTTCTACAACATGGCAAATAATTTACTAGCAGGTGTAGTAGAGTAATAGAAATCCAACAGACCCAACAGTCATGACATGCATGCTGCTGATTCTGTGTAATTGAAATCACTAATTGAAAGGGGCATGTTCAAAATAATAGCAGTGTGGAGTTCTATTAGTGAGGTCATTCATTCTTTGGAAAACAGGTGGCAATTATTGCCCTTATTTAAGGAAGGAAGGCAGCAAATGTTGTACATGCTGGTTACAGTGCATTTCTCTCTGAAATTCTGGAGGAAAATGGGTCGTTCCAGACATTGTTCAGAAGAACAGCGAACCTTGATTAAAAAGTTGATTGGAGAGGGGGAAAACATATAAAGAAGTGTAGAAAATGATAGGCTGCTCAGCTAAAATGATCGCAAATACTTTAAAAATGGCAACCAAAACCTGAAAGATGTGTGGAAGAAAGCAAAAAACTACCATTCGAATGGATAGAAGAATAGCCAAAATGGCAAGGACTCAGCCAACAATCAGCTCCAGGAAGATCAAAGAAGGTCTAAAGTTCCCTGTGAGTACTGTTACAATTAGAAGACGCCTATGTGAAGCCAAGCTATCTGCAAGAAGCCCCCGCAAAGTCCCACTGTTGAAAAAAAGACATGTGCTGAAGAGGTTACAATTTGCCAAAGAGCACATTAAGTGGCCTAAAGAGAAATGGCGCAACATTTTGTTGACTGATGAAAGTAAGATTGTTCTTTTTGGGTCTAGTGGCCGGAGACAGTTTGTCAGACGACCCCCAAACACTGAATTCAAGCCACAGTACACTGTGAAGACAGTGAAGCATGGTTGTGCAAGCATCATGATATGGGGATGTTTCTCATACTACGGTGTTGGGCCTATTTATCGCATACCAGGGATCATGGATCAGTTTGAATACATCAGAATACTTGAAGAGGTCATGCTGCCTTATGCTGAAGAGGAAATGCCATTGAAATGGGTGTTCCAACAAGACAACGACCCCAAAACACACCAGTAAACGTGCAACATCTTGGTTCCAGACCAACAAGATTGACGTTATGGAGTGGCCAGCCCAATCCCCGGATCTTAATCCAATAGAAAACTTGTGGGGTGACATCAAAAATGCAGTTTCTGAGGCAAAACCAAGAAATAGAGAAGAACTGTGGAATGTAGTCCAATCATCCTGGGCTGGAATACCTGTTCACAGGTGCCAGAAGTTGGTTGACTCCATGCAACACAGATGTACAGCAGTTCTCAGAAACAGAGTGCTTATACAACTAAATATTAATTAAGTGATTCAAAGGAAAGCAAAATCTTCAAACATTTTTCAGTTTATATAGTGAATGTTTGAGTTTGTAAAGAAGAATACAAACACTGCTATTTTTTTGAACAGTCTAATATTCACTTTTCTTCAAATTTTTTTAGAGGAACAACACAAATTTGATATATTTTTCTTCATGTTTTGATTTGGAATAGAATGTGTAGTGTTCCCAATGCATTTGTGTGTATGGAAATAAAAGCTATTAGAAGGATTTTGAGCTTTATTCACTTTTTTTCAACACACTGCTATTATTTTGAACACAACTGTATATACTGTATGTTGAAATGCGATTTTATTACAAAAATATATGAAAAATAGTTTTAACAATCCTTTTCAAATATACTGAATGTCTTTAAAAATACAAATCTACATTTTTGGAATGCATTTACAAATATATGTAAAAATATATTTTAAAATGACTTTTTGTATATGTTAAATATATATATATATATATATATATATATATATATATTGAATATGGCCAAATGGTAGTATTTCAAATATATGTCAATATTTTTGGGAAGAATATTTAAAAACTATATTTCAAATATATTTTTCTTCCATGTGGGTGGTTAAAGTAGAGGAAAACATTTCATTTTGGACAGGTAAGGGAGGGTTTTAACCCCAATCTTTTTGTTTGGCCATGTGTGCCCCATTAGGGAGATTTCCCTTCACTTCCTGTCCCATAGCCAAAACAGGAAGTGGGAGGAAACCCCCAGTTGTCACTAGTGGTGCACAGTAGTGAAAGGGTTTGAAAAACTCACTGTTCTTAGGTTCTCCTCCTCACACAAGATTGGTGTGTGAGGAGGATAAGATAGTAATAGTGAGTGGTCACTGTGTGTTTACACTTATGGTCGGCCGATCACATGGTAAAAAGCCAATTTCATTGGCTCTTTACCTCCAGCGGGGAAGCGTTGTGTCCAAGGGACACAGCCTGAAAGGAACGGCCGCACTGCGTGCCCCCGGGGGGGGGGGGGGGGGCAATGCACAGGACGTCATATGACTCCCAGTCACAGGAAGAAGAGGACTGCCCGGCTGTAAATCCGCTATAGGCTGGGCGGCAACATGTTAAAATATCACTATAAAATGATTTCACATCAGTGTGTATAGCTGCAAGTGGGGATGTGCCCGCACTGCAAGGGTTAATAGCTTGTTTAGGTCTAGGGGAACAAAAAAGATTTAATTACTCAATTCTGTTCCCTCCCTCAGCTAGATGGATCCAGCAGCCTCTCCTCACCCACGCTCTAGTGGTCTTGGATCCTAACTTTTTCAAGACCAAAGCAGGATCCATAGCCTTGCACTGGTTGTGTTGACGTCAAGGGACAGTTCACTGCTGGTGTGTGGGGGAGTGCTCTCTGGCA